CGAAGAAGAAGGGGGCGTTCCAGTCAGCGAAAACGGGAACCCCCACCAGCACGAGAACGCCCATTTGTGGCTGCAGTTGGATGATATTGAATATTGTAGGCTACATTCATCTCTGAGGTTTGAGGACACATTTCAGCACCTTGGACAGCTCCGACTGGGACTCTGCAGACTGACAGCGGCTCAGCAGCGACACCCAGCGGCCTGAACACAGAATACACTGACAGGAGTGCGAAACATATAAACTGAGTTGAACTCAAAGGCAACAATATACTATTTTTCTAGGAAAAATAACTGGATTTGAAAAGGTATTGTATAACGAGACAAAATACAAATAAATAAATGTAATGTAGGTAATCAGGTAGATTTCTTTCAAGATAGATGAAAATGGTTATTGTGTTGGTCATCGTCACCCATTTGAGAATTTTGCCACTGAGCAAATAAACATAACAAGTTTGATCAGTTTAACTTCATTTACATGGACACTTTAAGTGAACTTTAAGACACAATACAGCAACAGTTTAATGAAATGTAGCACAACCACAAAGGGACTTTTCATTGTTGTTGCTTGCCAGTGTCTTTATAAGAAATACAAATGAAAGAAGACAAAAAAAATCAATGGCTTGACCTCAGTATATCCAGCGCGCCATCTTAAAATCATCAAGGAAAGGGTGAACATCGACTGACAGAAAAAAAAAGGCATCCAGGGCCACATCCAGCATCCATCTAATGGACAGCAAGTGGCAGCATCCTCTGTTGCCATGGAAACTGTGTTCACTATGTCGGGCCTTGGCTCTCCCTGTTGCTGCTTTTGCCTCTTGGCCTGCAGCCCAGCGAGATAGGCTCAGCTGACATTACAAGCCGGGGCTGAGATTAAAAATGCACCAGTGGTCAGATCACATTCACTTACTGTCAAACGACAACATGACTGTGGTCTTCATCGGACTGACAGGCTGCACGGCTTCATTACAGCACTGAATGACAGGAAACCTCAGCAACAGTATCAGTTAAAGATTTTATTTCCGTGTGTGCCATATAAACTAATTGAAAGAGATATTCCAATCATTCGAAAGCAGCATTTTACTTTGGCTGCACAAATGAGCAAAGCACCCAAGCGTTCACTGGATCTGAGATAAGCTATCATACCCTTTCAATGATTCTAGTGCCACCTGTAGAGTTTAACCAAGTACAGCAACACCAGCAGCGCCCTGTCAGGATAGCTCTCAAACTTGATCTTTATTTCTCTTTCATGTCCATGTCTTTTTTCATTTCCGCTTTTCTTATTTTTCTTGCCTGCCTCCAATCATGAGTAGCCTAATTCTCCTTGTTTATCTTTTCAGTTATCATCTACAGCTTCTTGTTGACCTCTCCAGCACAGCATTAATCTACAATATTTATTATCATACTGACATATACTGCCTCACTGTTTTAGTCTCTCTCTCTCTCTCTCTCTCTCTCTCTCCCTCTCCATCTGTCTACTTGTCTCATGAGTATATCCTTCCACTGCAGTTTCTTTCTCCTTCCCACTGTTTGATTTGGACTCCCTCTGCTTTACGGAGCATTCACAGAAGCAAACGCCCAAGGACAAAGAACTCTTAAAAGTACTGCCTTGATACTAAACATCGTATTTGTATTCAACGGGGAAAATATACATCTAAGAAAAGCAGAAGTGGAAAACACATGTGTTACAAAAAATGTAACACATGAGCATTGTAGTTGCATTGTAGATCAAAGTAGAAATAACTCCCAGTCACACTGAATCTTGTGTTTTTAACTATTGTTTGTCTGCCAGGAATGTGTGAGAGAATCAGGGACTGAATCCTAAGCAGGGCAGTTCTCAGTACATCAGCCCACATAACTTTATTTCTTTGCTGAGCCTCACTCAGAGAAGCTCAAAGACAAATAATGTATTTAAGTATTTTGAAAAGTTCTTGTCTCCAGTGCCCTTCTCTGGGCTTGATTTTATAAGGAGTATGGTCTATGAACACCATAATGTTAGTAGTTTGTATAACATATTAGTTACCGTAAATGTCTAAGAGAGAGCAGAGTAACTGTTCTATTACTTTTAGCTAACTAACTAGCTATTTCTACCATTTATCTGTTTCTTTATCTAACTATTACACCACATCATTTCTTCTTTTTTTCAAAGTCACAGTCTTTACACGTACCCCCTGGCAACTGTATAGGTAGCGTATCCCTTGCAGTAAGAAGCTATCTTTATTTGTTTTAATTGCTTTTTTGTAGATTTTTACAGTACTTGTTAATTGCATAGATGAGTTCATCTAATGTTAGTGAAGTCACTCTAGAAAATATAATATAAATTTCTTCAAACATTCAAACACCTGAGGGCAAGGTGATTCAATTACATTGAAAAAGCTGCTAAACCTAAAACAATTGAACAAACTGACTCTATAGGGTGCTTAGGCACACCCTGCTTTGACTTTGTCTTTTATCCCTTTAAACAGCTGCAGAACCACATCATTCAACATGTTTCAGTGCCATTCTTTTAAAACTGCAATTAAGTGCCAGTTCCACACTGAGTCACACTGACTTTTTGGCACTGACTGACTCTAACCGTGGACACTTGAAAGACAAGATTTTATTTAAATTCTTCAGTCCCCTCTCTCCAGCATGCCGCATTCCCAGCTACACATGATGCATTATTTCTCACAGAGGAGTCCTCAGCACGTCTTTGCCTGCTCACTGATAGATCACCTGCTTTACATTGCCGTAAATGTTCATAACAGCCATTAACGTAACTGAGAGTGATGGCACGGCACTTGTGATGCTCTGATATTGGTGCAATAGTCTTAATGTTCATTTATACAGCTCCATCAAGTTCAGATCCATTAAAATCTAAATGGTTGTGCGTGTCATAGCAACAAAAAGATGTGTGACATTCCACAAACTCCAAGGTCCAACAGAGACATCTATGAATTTTTACGAGTCTTTCCCCTCTCTCTGCAGAGACTTTTGACACTAAAATATTAATGTAACAAAATATATACCAGCATACTTTGATAAATACTTAAAATGTACTCTTCAAACAACACAGTCATAGTCATAGTAGGTATACTTTTATACATCCTGTGTGAGTGACTGTACCTGCAGAGTAGGGCTGCACAATTCATTTAAATATGATCAAAATCGCAATATGGCCAAGTGCAATATGCAAATCGCAAGAGCTTTAATGTTTTAGGTCAAATGTGTGACAAACAGCATTATAATGAAGTACGGTAGTGCTGCAGAGGTGCCCTGGTGTACAAATCCAGATTTAATGAAACATGTTTGTTTGATACAGAACCCCAAAAATTTCACATTATCATGATTTTATTACTTTTTTGGGGGGTAAAAATTCAATTTATGATGCAAACATTATCATGTCTACATAATCGTGAATCGCAATTGCAATATCTGTCAAATGAATCGCAATGTGATGTTTTTTACCTCATCGAGCAGCCCTACTGCAGAGCAGCGTCTCACAAGTCACTTTCAGAGTTTTTCTTTGTCATCTTCACACCACACGGCGTGAAAAGAGGTGCATCTGTCGAAATGTGGGACTTCTAAATCCAGGTGTGAGCTCACTTTTTTTCAGAGGTTGGTGTATATAAACAGATCAAAGCTGAGTGAAAGGCAAACATTTCAGAAAAGCTGGATATATACTTCCAGTTCATGTTTCAGGCTGACTGCTGGCCAGGTATCACAGTCTTTCTAACATTATAGTTTCACCTATTACATTCAAAGAGAAATTCTGCACCTGTTACTATATTCATCTGACTGTATTAATAAGCTACATAGCAGTTAATGATTTTGAAGAATGAGCCGTTGAAAGTATTTAGAGGAGAAGTAAACAAGGTCTTACTTGAGGATATCCTTTGCACTGGCAGCAATCTCTGTGGAGGACAGTTTGTTGTGTCACCACGAGCAAGTGGCAAGTGATGAGAGAAGCTGGAGCCTTGTACCCAATTAGGATGGAGGGTTAGCCCTCGGGGTGTGCAGCATCTGTCCCAAAGTGTTAAGTGAGGAAGATGTCCAGAGAAAAATCTTCAAAGTCACTGCACAGTGGATGGGCCACAAACTCTTTAAACACTGTTTTCCTGCCATCACATAGTGTTTAATCTCAAAGTTGAGGAAATATCAAAAGAAGATAAAAGCCGCTGTGCTGCAAACAGTGTCTTATGATATATACCATAGTGGGAAGGCAAAACACACACACAAAAGAAAAACACCAACCAATATGTTCAAGTTTGCAAGATGTGTAAAGTTAAAACAGCCTTGCCCATGTAGTGCATTCATACACCTTAGCTTTTACCCCATAATTATAGCAACATACAGTATACAGTATGTAAACATAAAGTCAAATATCAGTTACATAACCGGTTAACATGTGATTGTCATTTGGAAACCCAAGCAAAGTGTAACCTAGTTGACAGTCTACAAATTCAGCCACATATCTACCTATAGATATAGAGGTTGATCATCACTTGCATAATCTCTATAAAGACAAATTCTTCTAAAGTATTGAGAGTTGCTAATTAAACTTGCCTTGTATACCATCAAGTAAAGAGAAGAACAGTTGCATTCATTCAGGTGTCAGTCATATGACAAATACCTTAGACCTTCCTCAGGACAATGATCTTTTAGTGTTACAGTGCAGCTCACAGTTGACTGGAAGCCGACTCTAACAAATAAAATAAAATGAATAGCACTTATAAAAATATAAGGTTGTAAAACTGCCCCTGCGCTTGTCCAGCCTTCCTGCTGTGCCACACAGTGGATATACAAATCAGTTTCATTCATGTTGCAGACAAGAGCTGGCAGACTGCTCAGCAGTTCTTTTGCACAGATTTCATCCTGACACATCAAAGACACAAAAACTTCTCCTGGATGTTCAGAGCTGATCACTCTTCTCCCTCCACTACAGAATTAGTTTTCTGCTCCTCTTGTCTGTCTTCCACCCGAGAGAAAACGAATTGACAAAAACCAAACACTAACAGAACTGAGCAGCACTGCTTTTCAACCCTTGCACATATCTGAAAATATAATCTGGTAACCTTTGTGTTTGTTTTGGTTTCACGTTCCTCGGTCGCAGTCTGTCTTTCTCGTGACTCCATTCTTCACCTGTGCACATATGTGACTCACTAATCAGCCCTGACCTGCTGCCTGATTTCCCAGCTGCTCCACATCTCTAATAACTGTCTGGCTGACTGACTGGGTGTTGTTTGCCAGTGTGTGTCAAGGCTTCACCTGTGCCTGACTCAACCTGTTGGGAGTTAATCTGCCTACTCTTGCCAGTTTTCTTTAACCGAAAGTATATGCAGAGTGCAGAGTGCATTGTGATCGGAATCAGATCAGTCAAGCATTACCCCATTTACACCTGGCATTAAAATACATATAATATATATAACATATATCACAATATGTTATCTGATTATGTGATGCATATGAATCCATTATCTATAACTGTTTTTCCTTCAGGCAGGCTGGGGGCCGAGGTCAATTTCAGCTGACACTGGGTGAGAGGGGGGAATGCCATAAATAAAAAATAATAAATAAATGCATGGATAACATACTGGGACTGGAATGTGATTGGATGTGACTGGATCAGCCAGAGCACATTTGGAGAACATGTTCAAAGGTCACTTAATAAGCCCTGCAAAAGCTACCGGTAGTAGCAAAAATGAATAATTACATGTTAAAATCTGAATGTATCCAGATACAAATCACATGTTAATAACAGGTGAAAATGGTGCCTTAGCTCTATAGATATAAACTTGATTTAAAATGTAATAACGCACTTATCTTGTTGTGACTTGTAACTTCCTCTCTTGCAGGATTACTGTGGTATTTGGAGATGTCTGGGCAGATATCTTTCTTATTGTATTAGCCTCCATTTTCTAGATAACACAAGCAAATTACTCGCTTTTATCTTCTTAATCACATCCATCTTCTCCTCACAGTACAGCTCCTCTACACTGCTTATTGTGCAACTGGAGAACATGTCTGTGGTTTTAAAATGTAGAGGGTGAAAGTCAAGTACAATCAATATATCTTAATGCAACTGTTGCTGCGATTTATAGAGAGTCCTTAAAATGTTTCACATCAATTATTTACAGGAAAATTGATTTAGCAAGTTAGCAAGACAACACAATAATTTGTAGTGTAGAAACAGGACTTTGGAAACCAGCCTATTATTCTTGTATTTTTATTCATTTAATTATAGCCTACACTGTTTCTTCTTTTGGTGTTACAGTCACATTCCAGGCCAAGCTGTGACAGCTCAACAAAACTCAGCTAAAACTCTTACAATTGTATCATTCCTCTCTGAAGAAAACCCCCAGCAAAACTTATTCGTGAACAAATAACAGACAATCCCTGGATAACAGAGAAGATTGACTGTTTTAAAGATTCAATCTAAAACTCAAATGCCATCTTGCTTCTTTGCCAAAACTGCTGTTAAGTCAGCATAACCCTCAGTTTTCCCAACAAGTGGAGTAATTTCTCCTTCCAGAGATAAGTGGTTTGAGTGAGTCAGAGTGACAAGTACAAACCTATTTAAAATGACACTTTAAACCAACAAACTGGCTGTTTTCAATTTGACTAAGAGAAACGTTTTTTACACTAAAGTATCAGAATAAACCATCACAAACTATGATGTCTGTCATTTGTTCCTTTAGTGAGGACAGCGATTTAAGCTCAAACCACATTAGATGTAATCTGTAATCGACAGAGAGTAAATCTATCTAAAAGATTCAGAGAGGCTCTAATTAGAACTAATTAAAAAGAAGCATTTCAGCTTAAGGGGCAAACATGAATTGTTGTCAAATATGAATGATTATCCTGAACCTGTTACAGTCAACACATCTTAAACAGTAACACCACCCCATTCTCAAGAAAATATGAGGCTCTTATTTGCCAGACTTCCAGTTTGGCATTTTTATTTGAAACCGCTGAACTCGTATTCTCAGTTCCTCATTTCCTGGACTTACCAAAGGTGGGCACAGACGCAGCTCATTGTCAGGGGCAAGGGTCAAATTTAGATGGAAAAAACAACACCGACCTGGAAAACCTTTAAAAATATTCATGTAGGCTCGGGGGTTTAAAATACAGAGGCACAGAATCATTAAGACTACTGGGTTAACAGATGGCTCCTTGAAGTAAAGGGGAACAAAACTTGTGAAATCCAAGTTACTAATTAAGTATTAAACATATCTGATTAGTAATTGTTTGATAATAGACTGTATATATGCCTAAAACTATTGTTATATGACTTTTTATAGTAAAAAATAATAGTCAAATACAATAACTAATATTTTTGTGAGCCAGAATTAAGTGTAAGCTCAAAAAAATATACATAAACATATGTATAAAGCAGGAAAGTAGAGACAATTTGCAAAAAAAAACCAGTCTGTATGAATTGGACTGTTGGAAAAAATAATCCTTCAGTTATTTTCTCTTCATGGGGGCATGAAGGCAGGAAACCAAACAATCCGCTCTTCCTCGTGTTTCTCAACAGCCATTCCTTCTAGGGCATGTCTGCTCATGCTCGAGTGAAAACCTGAACCTCACGATCTGGAGTTTCTTTTTTTCAAATGCAGAGGTGGTGCTCGCTGAGTGTTCTTCCACACAACACATCCTCTGGAGCTCCAACACACTAAATGAAGCGGACCCTTCTGTTTGGGTCGGCATCATAGAAAGCTACAGTGGATGAAAGACATTTATGAGAACGCCATGGTGAGTACAGACAGCTTGTTTTACCTCATGTAGTAGCTCACCAGGTTTTGCTTTCATCTGACTCATCTAATGAGATAAATATTGATTTTAATACAGATCAAAGTGATGAGTTTCTACTCTGGTGTGAGGGCACGGCATGTTTATGGCTGGGTTTCCATCATCTGGTTCACTTTGGCAGTCAGGATCGCTGGTGAGGCTTTGTTTTGTGCATGAAAAGACATGTTTATCAGAGCATTTATTGTAAGTTAGTGTTAAAGGTTGCAGCTTGTGCACGGCGTTGGTGCATATTATTGTATTATGGCTGTACACTTTTTTTATGATGTAAGAAAAAAAGACATGTTGTAGCTCTTAAAGGTGTGTACTGAAAACAAGAATGGTTGTGTTCCTCTTTTGGATCCTTACTTTTGTTTGTAAAACTGAAACATTACAGAAAAAAGAACATAAATCATATATAACGATGTAAATTCAAATTCCTACCAAACCGCACTGTGTAAAAAACCCAGCTCCCCCAACAGCTACATGTGACAAAGTCAGTCAGTGACCAGCTAGCTACTGCTGTGACTACTAGTTAACAGAGCACGTGTTAAGAATAGAAAGGTTTCATGAGATTGTGTGACAATGTGATTTGAAAAATGTTTTAAAATTATTTACACATATTACTTACAAATAGTCTCCAAGGCAGAAGTGTATCAGAAATATGTTCAGCAGCAACATGTATCCAGCACTGTCCATCCTGCTTGTTTTAACTTATTAAGCTTATCTAACTAATAACATATTACTTTGTATTAACATAATTACTAACATATCTTTAAAGGCAGCAATCAGCTACAAAACTTTAATCTAGCTAAGCAAAACTCAAAGCTAGCATGGTTCTGCCTGCCGATTGTGCAACACATAATGCCACTTATTGTTGCTTTTACAGTCAAACACACAAGGTACCATGTGTCAAGTTGTGAGTTTGTTGTGTGCAGGTAGGTGGATTTTGTGGCATTTGGACAGAGCCAGGCTAGTTGCTTCCCCGTTTCCAGTTTATGTGTTAAGCTAAGCTAACTGGCTGCATATCATACAGACGTGAGAGTGGTATAAGATATCTTATTATCTAACTTTTGGCAATAAAGTAAATAAGAGTATTTCCAAAAATGTCTTACTATTCCTTTGAGATAATCCTAAAACTATTTTACCCAACTAAGGTGGCCCCAAATCTAAATCACGTGTAACTCAGAAACTGAATACCTACAGATTATTACTCACAGAATGATTATAACAAATAATATAAATTATGATATTTGTTTCATTCATACCACCATGTTATGTTATTTAACCTTGTCATCCCTCTCTCTGATAATTCAGTCAGTGAAGATGTGCCCCTGCAGACCGTTTCCGAGGTGGCGGCACGGTGCGGAGAAAATGTGACACTGCCGTGTGGGGTCACTATGCCAAGCCAGTCAGATATTAAATTATTTTCCTGGGTGGGTGGAAATAAATCATGTAAATATGAGGACAGTCAGCCTGACCCTGAGGTTCTGTGTGAAAGGACGGCAGAGACTCCCAACCACAGACTCGATATGACTCTCCTCAATGTGATGCCAGTCGACCAGGGAGAGTACTTATGCAAACTACGCTCCAAAGTGGGTGTAGGTTTTGCCAGGACTTTGGTTACAGTACAAGGTGAGTTGACTTTTAATATTTCATATTTTCTTTTTATTTATTGGTCTATCTTTATCTTTTGTTATCTTTCTAAAAGTCCTTGATCTTTACAGACTGCTTTGGAAATTCTAACTCCTACATCAAAAATACTGCTGCTACGTGTCAGTTCAGGGGAGTTTACCCCAGTGGCACCGTCCACTGGTTCCAGGGGGACGTTAACCTAACGGACTCTGCCAGCACACAGAAAGAGGAGGACCAGCATGGACGGTACGATGTTGTGAGTACAATAGATGTCCCGAAAGGAAAGATGAGCGAGCCCTACAGATGCTCACTGTGGATACCTTCTATCGGGAAGAATCTGCACACTCAAGAGCTACCTATGGTTAAGGCACTGGAGTCATCAGGAAGCATGGTGAGAGTGCAGTGGATCTGTATAATGGTGGAAATCATGATGGTGAAATTTATGAAATAAAGGAAACCAACGGGTAGATGATTTTGTTAGACAGCATTTGGAGAAGTTCAAATATGAAAATAATAAAAACAGAAATGAAAATGAGCCAATGATTGAAGCAGGGAATTATTGAGGATTAGGTGTACTAGACTTTATGTTGTATCCAACACAGGCACAGATCTTTGAAAACACAACAGCATTTATTGTATTGCAGTCTAAGAGGGTGTGTGCTTGAGAGGGAGAGCATGTTTTAATTCAGAATGTCAGTCACTGATATTATTCAATGATATTATTCAATGAGTGTAAACTTTGAGAGGAGAGAGGACTTTCACTGATTAAACGATGTACAGTTTACCTATTTCATATTTCATATTCAATCTTGTTTCATTTGTGGTATTAAACCTTCACTTCATCCTGGTGGCCAGAGGGAGGCAGTCTTCACATACAAGAATCCTAACTGATTTACTGCTGTTACTCAACTCTTGCATTGTGTAAATGTAGAGGAGAGCTCTATTCAGTACTCTAAATTTATCCCAAATACATGATCACCGAAGGAGAGGAAATGTGCCCACTTTAGTACTTAAGCAACAAAAGAAAAAAAGGATTTAATATCCTTTATGCAGACATGATTTATGTGAATGGCTTATCAGTTAACTGAAGGGCAACATGCAAATCTTAAATCTACAATACAGGGATCAAATAAACAGATTAGGGACACATGATTGTTTACCTTTTTCCAAAATGTTTTTGAAATACAGCTACTGATGATGATCTACACAAAATGTTGTATATATTGTATATTGATGTTTGGTTTTTAAAATCTGCTTTGTAGTTATTCTCAATAAAAGTGTAAAATATAACACATTTCATACATGTATGCTTTGTGAGAATATGTCATATAAAGCCCTCCTACAAAAGGAACCAGTGAACACTGTTAATATCATCTTCTGACCCGATGTGTTGGCTCATGTATGGTGAGACTGTGTGTCTGTGGAAAGTTTATTTTGTTATACAAGATCAGATCAGTATACTCCTCACTGTACGTCACTGCAAAAGTTCACAGATGTTCAGGCATGCAGTCCTCCAGGCAAACTACAGCAAGTGTTGCCACAGTGTGTAAGAATTACAGACAAGGCGGGGCACCTGGATACCTCACCTGGTATGTACAAAGGCCCGGTCCAATAAAGGTGACCACAGCTGACAAAACTGCTGAATGTGCTTTGTAATTTCTCTGCTCGGTGGTGCAAGTCTTAAATTGCGGCCAGGTTATGCTCAAGTGGATGGTGAGTAAACAGTAACGGATGGTCTGTTGTGTTTTCTTTGCCACTTTATTGGTATGCATTTCATCAGATATTACCATTTGGAAGATCTGATAAAGTTGACAACATTCAGTGGATAGTTTACATTTAACTGCAAGAGATGAACCATTGAGATAAGATTGCGGTAAATGTAAATACCCTAAGCCTAGCAAGCAAGGGCATGTGCAGGTATTGTGTTGCACAATTATGTTTTCATGTGTGGTTTTCATAACAGCAGAGGTGGTTACACAAATAGGAACAAAGCCATTAAAAGAAACCTAAAATCAAGGCTCAGACTGAAGAAAGTAAAAACCAACGCATGCAACACAGGTAACTGCATTCAATTCAATGTGTGGATGTATGTTGTATGCAACCTGCTGCGCCACAGAGTCAGAAAAACAATAGATTCCCAGCCCCAGGACCTTTGACTTGGTAAACCAAGCTACTGGAGCAGGAGAGGCAGTTAAGAGGCAAGAGAACATGACCTGAGGAGACCCCGCTGAGAGCAGATACACACTACAGATTAGTTACTAAGGACAGAACACAGAGACTGGATTTATTTGCTCTAGTAGAGCGACACCACAGATTGATTAGGGCTCTTTGGAGATCAAGAGACAGGCAAGCAGGCAATAGATCTTTTCAATAAATGTGTTGAGTGTTTAAGTGCAGTGTGTGTTTGTGTCTGTGTGTGTGTGCATGTAACGTGTTTACACTCACTGTTAGAAAACAAAATATATAACCTTTAGTCATTTAGGCCTAATATGTCAATGGCACACTCATATAATGGTACATACTATATGACCCTACATGTAGAAATGCACAGAGTGTTTATCATTATGAATCCTTAAAGGAATAGTTTGACATTTAGGGAAATATGATTCACTTTCTTGCCCAGAGTTAGATGAGAGTTTGATACCACTCTCATGCCTGTACAGTCATTATGTAGCTACCACCAGGAGCTGGTTAGCGTAGCTTAGTAAACCATGCTACTGCTGGCTTAGTGTAGCACGTTGGGCTTTTCAATTGTCGTCACCCAGCTGATATCAGTGATACACAGCGTACAGCACTATTTCTACACTGGAGGCCGCACTTGGCATCGAGAACGGGCCACAGCCTGGCATATCGACAGTTTGACGTGGCTGGTTAGTCGCCGTGTCCCTTTGTGATCGGGTTTTCATCATGGCTGCAGATTTTGACGTAATGTTTTGTTACCTTAGAATGAGCTGTTTTCATCTACAGAGGCCGTTGGACTGATCCCAGTCTGTATGCTTTGCTAAGATAACTAGATGCTGGCTGTAGCTTTGTCTATTGTTGTGATTGTTATTATTCTTCTCATCTATCTCTCAGCCAATCTTTATCTTTCATAACAGCCGTGAACAAAACGTTTTGCGTAGAAAATAGGGGCTGTTTTATTTTAACGGGAACAGTCAAGTTATTTATCAAAAATTCTAATCAGTGACATTTATGTGCAAATAACTGTTTGTCTATTTCAAGTAGAGGATATTAACCTACCTGATGCTTCTCCTGATGTCATGTCATAAATAATGAAATAATCTGTTAATTACAAGAGCCAATTGTAGGTGTATGTTTGCAAAACACTATCATCTACAAACCGATCATATCATATATTGCTATTACATATTTTAATACCGGTATTACAGAAAAATATTACATTTGCCCTGACTTTAAAACATTAGTCATCCCCAAGATGTTTCCAGGCTATGCTGTCCCTCAACGTTCAGGTCTGAATTGATTGTTCTCCTATCTAGATAAAACACTGTTGCCATGGTGAACTGAAGCTGTTGAAGCCTTGCATAAAGACAATTTATTGGCTTTTCTCTAATTTACTGTTTTTCTTCTTTTGGTGCAGAAAATGGTTCTTCTGAAAGAGGAGCATTTAGATATGTTAGGCTTTCAAAGGCACTCTACAAAGAACAATCCCATTCTTCATCAAACAAAGGTCAGTCTCATCCGGGATCAATTACATTTGCTTTTAGTTGAAGTCGTGTGTTGGAGTTCAATGGGCAGTTCCTGGAAATATAGTTGGATTGTAGTTTCATACGGAGCACTTGATGTATCTTGGGAAGAATCAATCAGAAAAGCAATTCTGTCAACTATTTACCCAATTATTAAAATGCTTTTGACACCAGTGTGTTAACTCTAACTCAAACTACATTCTAAGGTAACAAAAATACAATGATTCTTATTTTCAGGTGATTATAAACTTATCAAAACATCATCTCCTAAACATTACACACCAGACCTCTAAGGGTAGACATATTTCATCTTTCTGTTAACTTTTACTCTCTGCAGAGGAAACAGCGTGCAGTTGAACAATTCAAACTTTGTCAGACACTGTATAAGAACATGCACACACACACACACACACACACACACACACAAACACACACAATTACCTGCCGAGAGCTGTTGGATAGGCGGTGGACTTCACCCAGGCCAGTTTTCTTTTCAACGTGACAGTTCAGCCATGTGAAACACTTCATGTTTATAAGCAAAGCTCGACAGGCACAATGACGCAAATCAATTATTTCATGTAATTATTTCATGTAGCAGATCCTTTCCTGCTAATGAGGAGAAAAAAAGTAGAAGAAATAACAGAAAATGAAAGTTTTAAAGAGTAAAAAACATATATTTTGCTTGCACAGTGAAAACTGTGAGAGGACCCATGAACCTCTCCGACCCTCAGAAGCTGCTTTTTGTCGTTGGCTACATCTGTTCTTATGTACAACAAATGATTAACAATCAGTTTAATAATTCCCACATCGTCCTGTTAGCCAGATATTCTTTCAACTTTATATTTATATGCACAAGACAGGCAGCTCAGGGGCACACGTGTCCGGCTGCTAAAGTGGCGAGATGTGATGATGTGAATGAACCCATCCCTGAGTTCACAGCTCCTCTTTACCCCTATTCTCACGTGAGTGGAACGTGGATTCTCAGAATAACACACTTCTCTACATCCTTCAGTAGAGCTGTTACCTATCCCTTCATTAGCTCTCTTTCATGTATACAGCGCACAGCTTATATACGTGTTCTAGGAAAACTGGGTCTTCTTAAGTGACTTCTTACATGACTTAAGAGAGTCACTGTACACAAACATAATTTTTTTTCTTGACATGCAAACACTAACCACTGACAGACAAATTAAGTCATGCAACATGAAGTAGAGAGAGACATTAGGGCCAGAGACATGACCGTATACTTATATGTTAAAGTGCAGCATCTTCCCTGCAGCAGTCTGCCTTAGTTTATCAGCTGTGGGCAATGTTTTCCTTATTTCTTAAATGTAAATTTTCAAAACCTACTCTTGCCATTTGCAATAAAAACAGAAATGGTTGAAAATCTGTTAATGCTAATATTAACAAAATAAACAGTTCCGATTGCCTTGGCAATAAAGTGCCACCACAGATGTATTATAATAACTAGGTACCGGATGCCAAAGATGGCACCAATTCACTCGCCTGGCGCATATACCAAAAAAGTTTTCCTGGGTATGCAGCCCACCAAATGTGTGCAGTAGTGTTTCTCCCACTGAGCCCGCCTATGAGTTCATGAGTTTCACGGATCAAAAACTCATAACAGAAGAAGTCAAAACAGTTCATAATTTGAGGTATGTTCTGTTCTTTTCATAAAAGAGTTCATCAAGTTTCAGGTAAGATATGTCAATTATTTATATTATTACATCACCTCTTTCACTCTGTCTGTTGTGAAAAGGGTTTATGTTTCTGTAATGTTTGACATTAATCTAATTTAATGTTATCACCATAACAGCTACAATTTTATGAATCACAGTGACAATTTAGATGTGTAAGTGGGAAGATGAAAGGTGACCAGTAATCAGGAAATGTTTTAAATTGACAGCAAAAGTGGAGCCCCGCCATAGGAGCGCCATTAAACATTTAACAGTTATATAACCTTCCAATTATTTTATGTAACTGTGGTTTTCCAGGTTCCTCCTCTTCACTCTGATCCCCTAGTATTCATCCATCTCTGGCTACCACCACATACAGTACATACATCCATGACTACACTGACAGCAATGTGGAAGATCTTGCAATATTATAATAAAGTAATAAAGAAAGCAACATCTAATAGATAAATAACTGTATTAAATAAAATTAGAAGGCCCTTTTTAATAATGTTTACTGTCTATGATTTATGCAGTGATGATAGAGAACAATAATCCGTCCATTTATTTAACTTCCTTGGGCAATACTGTGTTATTACAGCACTTCTATTCACCCTCTGTCTGACTCTGTTTGAGCTCCTGCGCCACCTCCCGATTAGTCAGCTCCCACAAGCCTGAGCAGGCACCGCCCAAATGTAGCTATAGCAATACCTTCAGGGAATTTATATCAAGTGGATTTTTCATACAGCAGCAACACACATACGAATAACAACAAAGCTAACGCTAGCTCAGATATTAGGAGTAGATTTCTATGTTGGTTTTTGCAGCCAACAACATAGAAATTGACCTGGTTTGCTCGTACCTTCCACGTGTTAGTGTTCCCGGAGTCGTGTAAGTCAGAAAACAACAATGGCGGCCAGCGAGGTAGATTCACCTGGTTTCAGTGGGTGGGACTGGACTGCCAACTGGTCTTTCTCTGATATCATAAATGTATAATTAGATAGAAGAAAATCCAAATAATGCAGGCCAGGCAGTGGAGGAGCAGCGTTTTCTGTCGTAGACAGTAACTAAATGGGGGTGGACTTTTTTTTTGGGCATTGTTCAGACTTTTTACATGCACCGAGATAACCCACAAATGCATAATATGGCCTCTTTAACTATGGCTGCAGTATAGGTTTTCAAATCAATTAAGATTCTGTCAATTGTTCCATTTTGATATATTTTTATTATATTTTAACATGTTTCATTACATAATGGGGATTGTATTGTAACTGCCCAGTATCTCTGTTTATATAGTATATGTATGTAGTACATGTGCAAATGTTGATA